TTTGAAGTTTCAAGTGATACAAAGCCACAAGGCAATGGGATGCTGGCGCATCCAGTTTCCATGGAGCAGGAGCAGCATTCAAGCACTGTCCGGAAGTTCAGAAGTTCTGATTGGGATGAGAGGGAAAGATGGATTTGGAGTTCATTTCATGAGTCTCAACTGGCTTACAAGAAGAACATTCAATTAGGAAGTTTGGAGAAATTTGAACTTGTTAACCGTTATTCTCCATCTCATCTATCTCCCCTGTTTGTAAAACATGAAGAGGTAGACTCTCCTCAATTCACAGTTGGCCCGGGTGGTAATATTTTGTGTGTATTGGAGCATGAGGTTTCTAGCATAATAGCTCGTGCTCTTGCCATATCTGAGGAGCGTCGGCAGGATACCGCAGTCATGAATGAGGCAGATGATGCCAGGAGGGAGCATACTAAAACAATGGAGAAATCTTATAGCTTTCTATCTGAAAGTTCTATTGGCTCATCACCATGGTCATCTATAGATTCTGAAGCAAGCATTTCATCTTCTATTTCGTCATATTCATCTGGCGACCTTTCTGGTTATGATACATCGCCTTTATTGTCCTTGGTACATCCAGAAATCCCTGTGAATGGAAAAGTATCTCTCAAAGGCAAATATTCAGTTACTAGTATATATGCTAATCAATTCTACATCCTTCGAAGAAAGTGCTGCCCATCTGAGCTTGCATATATTACTTCATTAAGCCGATGTAAGAAGTGGGATGCTCAAGGCGGAAAGAGTAAAGCTTTATTTGCGAAGACATTGGATGACAGGTTCATTATAAAGCAAATCAAGAAGACAGAATTTGAATCCTTCATAAAATTTGCCCCTGATTACTTCAAGCATGTTTACCATTCTTTAGACACTGGAAGCCAAACTTGCCTTGCCAAAATATTAGGAATCTATCAGGTAGTTTACTTTGACAACCAGAGTTCCGTTTCAATTTATTTTCTTCCATTTATTACTATTTTTCTAAAGCTTTGCTGTTTCAGGTTAAGCAAATAAGGCATGGCAAAGAGATAAAGATGGATCTGATGGTGATGGAAAATCTTATGTTTGGGCACAATGTTTCACGGATTTATGATCTTAAAGGTGCTATGTTTTCACGACACATCACCAACTCAAATGACCCTGACACTGTTTACTTGGATCAGAACTTTGTGGAGGACATGAATGTATCTCCAATCTATATTGGTGGAAGAACAAAACATCTCTTGCAGCGCGCAATCTGGAATGACACATCTTTTCTCACTGTATGTATAATGCACATCTTCCAGTTTAAGGTAATCATCATATTTTCATATTAATATGTCTTAACAGAATTATTGTACTTGCAGTCGGTTAACGTTATGGACTATTCTCTGCTTGTCGGAGTGGACAAACAAAAGAATGAACTTGTGTTTGGCATTATTGATTATTTGAGGCAATATACTTGGGACAAGCAACTGGAGACATGGGCGAAGTCTTCTTTGGTACCAAAGAATGTTTTACCAACTGTAATTTCTCCCAAGGATTACAAGAAAAGGTTTAGAAAGTTCATGGGCAAGTACTTTCTCGCAGTTCCAGATACTTGGAGTCCTGAGAATTCTTCTGGGCCATACAAATCCTTTGGTCATAGCAATAGCAAGTTGGCAGAAGCCCACAATGGCGATAACCTGCTTCAGCATCCAATTGAGGCTGATGCAAAAATCTAGTTCTGTTCAGCTGAGGCATGTGCCTAATTCTGTCCGGACTCCTCTGACAGTTCTTTGAAGCCTATCTGTTTATTGTTGTTGTTGTTGTTGTTGTTATTGGCTAAGTTTCGCTTTGTAAAATGGTGTGCATATGAAGGTCTCACTATTGATCTTTCCAGAAGTTTGCAATTTTTAGGCAGATTGCTGGGGCAAGTGAAGTCCACAATACATGTACCTATACAAATGAAAATTGTGAATTTCACAATTATTATAGTGAAATTTACAAAATTTATATGACTATTTTTGGACCTATGAGACTGCAGCATTTCCTTCTTGCTAAATTAGTTCTTAGCGTCGGACGCAGTTCACTGTCTGAGGAGGACTTTCAACCTCTTTTAAAATTTCACCAGTTTGATTAGTATTCTTCCTTCATTACTCCACTATAATTGCCCTCCACTATAATTGCTAACATGGAAAGCAAAGGAGCAAGTTAAAGTGCCTCCTGATCTCAATGCACATCCTAAAGTGTAAATTTGGTTGTTAAATGGACATCGTCTATTTGCAGATTACCCCCAATCACTTTTTATTGCTGCACAACTTTGCAGATCTGCTGGATTGATGCATTTTGCTATCTATCTTTCACAAGTCAATTTTGAGTCATTAGAAGGGGTGAGATCATCGCTCACTTTTTTGTTCTGTATAGTCTGTTTCTCGAATTTTGTGGTAATTTTTATTTATGCCCAAGTCCCTTTTATGATAGCAAAGAGACAGTGCAATTTGTTTTTTGTTTGCTTTCAGGAAGTAGCTCACAGGAGAAGAAGCCAGTTGTCATTTGTTCTGGATCATGAGTAGCTGCCTAGTAATATACTCCCTTTGTAAAGAAATATATTTCTATACAGAGGCAGTACCTAATTTTGGTGGTTGTTTTATGTGCTAAACTTTTCTTCTATATTTGTCAAAAGAAATCTTTATAATGTTATAAAGCGGTTCACTGCTCCTAAAATTAACCTGTTAGTTCACCCCTTAAACCGCACTGATCAGGGCTGCACTAATGTAATGCTACATTTTGTTTTCTAGAATCGAATTCTGTTATTTAAATGGGTCAAGTAGGGAGAATTATCATGTTGGAGTTTAATTATACTGTTATTTTCCTTGCTCATATAACTGAATAACTGATCACAAAGAGCTTTGCGTGTGATGGCTAAAATTTACCAGCCAGTGTCTGCTTTTCATAGGTCTGAACACTGAACGTTGGCAAGAGGAGGTTCCTGTGATGAACATGCGAGACTTTGGTGAGTTAGTTCATATTAACCTTCCTGATTTGCTTCTTTTGCATTTTGCATTGGGTTATGACTTCTGGAGTCGATGCATGGGCAAAGTTTTATAATAAGCATCAATTCCTTTTCCAGCAGAGGTTACTTGTTGCAGAATCTATAGCTGTATCGAATTAAGTAGACCATAGCACATCTCTCCAGAAGTTAAGTGCACCACATGGAACTGGCTGCAATTTCCCTTCAGCTGTAATCTGCAGTAGGCCCAAATTTATCTCTGGTCATACATTTGCTGCCCTTAAGAATAGTGTAGTGAAAGGCAATTGTTTGTCATTCCATCATCAGTCAAGGAGGTAATAATCCACACGACTTTGGTTGGCATGTTCCCCCTTTCTACTTTTTCCTTTTGCAGGAGGGCATGCATACACTAGCAGTAAGAGTATGACCAGAGTAGGACTTTTAGAACATTTCAGAGTGGCTCATCATGATTGCATGTATGCAAGTCCTTTCATCGGGGAGCATAGGATGTTGCAAAACGATTGTATGGACAAGGTCCTAATGTGTGTAATGATGTTCATCCTAGCATCACTGATCCATACTTCCACCTATTTTTTCGATCTTAAATCTGAACTTAGGAGTGCAATAAGGACCGAGTTTGGTATCATACATCTTTCGATTTGATATATCTGATACCATGCTTCAGTTCTGCGTTCTGCGATACTGTTTGTGTTCAAGAACAATGTCTGCAAATGCGACTCTTAGCCTCTGAAGTTCCCATTAGCTGCTGATTTTCTGTAAACAGCACCTATTCAGCATAGGTGTGAGTGTGATTGCTCTGCTCTTTAAACTCTGGTTTCAACTCTTTTCTGGAGTCATGAAACTCTTCCAGTAGCTGAAAAGCTAAATAGGAAGGTTGCATTAGATTTTTTCTCAGTTTATTTTTATTAGGCACTTGCTTTTTATAGAGAACGTAAACACATGCATTTGTGTAGCAGCTGATGGTGAATCAAATAATATTTGAAGATAGATATAACTGTGACATGGCACTGATGTTTTCTTGGTTCTTTGCTGCAGATCCTACTTTAGCGAAAAGCGACTGGTGCCGCCATTTCGGTGTAAGTGATTCGATTTGGTTGATTCATGGTCAGCTTTTCCCCAAAGTATGGAACATGGTTTACGCTGCTGCTTATCATAATTTCTCTACTGTATAACCCTGCAAAGCAGCTCAGATCAATCAATTTTGCATTGCAGCTGCTGCTCCTTTTCCTTGAACCGATGCCTCTTAAGTTCGGGGTGATCATCATGTTCGGATTCCAGAAGGTCACCCCATCATTGTGCAACCAAAACGATGACCGCTGTCGGAGATCATATTGAGAATCCTGCCTCGTTCATCTTCTCCATCGTGAGTAAAATAATCAGTTTATACACTGCCAATTGCCGCGGCAGCTAGTGGAGTGATCAATGATAAGGAAGGTGATTAGCCTAGCGCCAAAGAACAAAAAGAAGTTGCAAAAGATGACAAGCACAAGGGCTCATTCTAACGCACCCTATAGAACTCTCTTTTTGTCTCTGCCCAACAAGCTGCCCACATCTCCACAGCACTTTTCCAGTTCGAGAAAAGGGCAAAGAGCTGCTTTCCTTTTCCGATGTAGATTCTTCCTTTCACCATCAACTATTATATCACCAATTCATCCTCTAAGATCGATCCCCTAAAAATTACTGGACATATATTCTGATTCTGATTCTGACAAATAGATAGGCCTAAGCACCAACTGCCTGCCACTACCACTTGCTGCTCTGCTCTGCTTAGGAAGAATACAAGCATGATGATATTCCAGTGCAGGACATATGTATAGACACACTAGCTGCTATGATAGCTAGACTAGAGAGAGCAGCTAGATTAGATTACCCAACCACAAGAGAGAAGAACACCCACATTTTTTTTTGTTCTAATTTGTTAGCCTTGTTGTACTATCTACCATGCCCCGTTTGTTTCAGGCTTTCAGCTAGCTGCTGCAGAAGTACAGATTGTGAGCTTGGATCAGCGATGGCTGCACAGGTCCGACAGCATCTTCCTGCCTTCCACAATCTCATCAAAGAAGTCGTCCAGCTCGCCGACGACGCCCTCCGCCCCTGACCTCAGCATCCCGACCCATCCTTTGATGATCTCCACCCTCTCGGCGATCTCGCCAGGGTCGCCGTACCCAATGGCGACGACCCTGTCGAACTCTGTCTTGAGGCTCTCAATGCCGGCCCTGGCCTGCCGGAACTCGTACATCATGACGCCGGAGCCGGAGTGCTCGCCGGCGACCGCCTCCATCTCCTCGGCGACGCGCTGGCGCAGCCGCCCCATGGAGGAGACGTAGCCGGCGCCTGAGGTGCGGAATGGGTGCGCGCAGCAGGCGAGGTCCGGGAGGCAGGAGACGGTCCCTGAGACGAGGAGCATGAGGAGGAAGGAGCTGGCGTTGCGCAGCGCGTAGAGCACGCCCCGGAAGCCGTTGAAGGCGTTGAGCTTGAACTCCACCGGCGACCGGTCGTCGAGCAGCAGCGACGCCGGGTCGATCCTGGTCTCTGCGAGCGCCCGGTTCTCCTGCTCCAGCCCCACGGCCTGCCGCCGCGGCGCGTTGATCGCACGCATCACCTGCACGCATTTGGTGTGATCAATGGAGGCCAAAGCTATGGGCGTGAGCAACTGAGCATGCACGCATAGGAAGGCAGGACAGGAGAGGAGCGTACCTGGCGGGCGGTGTGGGGGTTGGGGTTGCAGAGCCAGTCGTCGAGGGCGGCGTCGATGCGTGCGGCGGAGGCGCAGTAGGTGTCAAGGGCGGAGGCGCCGGCCTTGACGACCTGGCAGGCCTCCCAGAGGCGGGAGGTCTCGTCCATGTACTCGTCGAGCCAGCTCTCCCCTGGTGGCAGGTGGAGGCGCTGCACGAGGTGGACGAGCTGCGAGTGCAGCGACCGGAGCAGCGCGGCCGCCTGCTGGAGGAAGGGCGCCGACATGAAGGCGGCGTCCGGCGACGAGGCCAGCGTGGCGTGGAGCGCGTCGAGGCCGTGGGCGATGGACGAGTAGAAGCCGTTCATGGCTGGTTCTGCCGCCGACTCAAGTTTGTGCGTGTGTGTGTTTGCTGGAACGGTGAGAGCAGAGTGTGGTGGTGGTGGTGCATGGGAGGTGGAGGCTGAGCTGGAGCAGAGGATCAGCCTATATATAGAGGAGCGGAGAGGAGGCGAGTGTGGTGGTGTATGAGGAAGCAATGATGGGGTGTCCGGCGGTCAGGGGGAAGGATGATTGGGGACTGGGCAGAGGGCCATCGCCATTGCCAAGACTGCTCTGCTCGCTTCTCTCTCGATGACCACCACTCTGCCTTCGCCTCGCCTCGCCACGAGAGAGGAGTACTACTAGTAGTACTAGCTAGCATGCATGGGAAAACGTATTCAGTCAGCTGGCCTATCAGCTACCCAGCCAAGCCAGTTTTGCCATGAATCCCACTCCACTCCGCTCCGTCCCTGTCTTGAGTTGTACGTACTCCTCCTTCCAGACTCAAGGGGGACCATTGCCATTTGCCCCAGGCGATTAATTACTTGCTGGTGCTAATCAAGGAAAAAAATGCGCCAGCAGCAGTACTCAGCACTTGGGGCTGGCAGCTGGCATTGCTGCCTCTTTTCCCATATTCTGCAGCAGCCAAGCCATTGAATCCGGGTGGGGGGCCTGTGTGCCGGCCTCGGATGGGCGCACCATCAAGCAGCAGGGAAGCAAAGAGAAACACACGCTGCCCCTTCCCTGTCTGCCCCTCAACGGAGCCCCTCATCGTTTTTCTGGAAACCCACGTTATGTATGTTAGGTGCCCACATTACACTATCATATCACCACGTACAGAGTGCATCACTCGCCATTGCACCCGGCCACGGAGTTAATGTGACATATGCTATATGGCAGTTGCAGCCAAATGTATTTACTACCAGTATGTAGTATTTTCGTTCTTTTCTTTTCTTTTCTTTTGTCTGTGTGGTGTGACTGGGTGGGTAGGAGTTGAAGAGCGGGAGCTGCTGCTTCTTCTAGACGTAGTACGCCTGGCATGCACTGCACCAATGTGTGTCACGCAGAGAAGCAGCAGAGGGGGAGGAGGACAAAGTTTCAAAGGCGGGCATGGAATCCGAGAGATTTGTCGAAAAGCCTTGCTAGTAGGATGTGCTGTACTTGGCCGTGGATCAATGGTTTGCTGGCTCGGCTCGCTGGAACGGGATGCCAATGGAATGGAATGATGGGTTTCCTTGTACCCGTACAAATCTCCCTCTGTCCTCGCTACAAGAACCCCATTTCCATGGCGTGGCCGCCTTTTGAGGCGTCTCCCTCTCACCCGGGCCTCCAACCCGGCCAGCAATCATGCCCAATATATGCCCGTGCCCGGCCTCCCCTCCTCTCCTCTCCCCGTTTTTTCTAGGGCACATGTTGGGTCCTACGTGCCAGCATATAGTCCCTCTATCAACTCCTTGAAAAGTTGGCGTTTGTTGGACAACCACCATCTACTGCTTTGACCCAACACGACAACAAATTCTAATAACAACATTATCAAAATTACTTTTCAAGAAAAATCCACGAATGCATATCAACTTCGAACATCAAATTCAAAATTTACAAATATGTAAATAATAATCATACATACTCAACCCCTATGGTGACTTGAGAACAGCAAGAAACCCTAGCCGCTACCGCTAAGGTCATAACCCAGCAATGGGCCTCATTCC